TCAGTTGTCATTCAAACTTGGTACATAGATTATACATGTTAGAATACATGTCCATGACGATTTATTTCGCAATTGGATCAAAGATGGTCGACTGGCAGGCATCTTGTTTTTGTTTTTTTATGCGGTATCTTGGACGTGCTCTGTCAGTTTTCATTCAAATTTGGCACATACATGTACTTTATACATGTTAGGATGCATGTCCATGACAATTTGTTTCAAAATCTGGTCAAGGATGGCCGATTGACAGCCATCTGACTTTTTGGCCTTACTACTATATTTCCACAATTTATGTACCATTTTTATTTGTATTTGGCACATACATCATACATATCAGTGTGTTTCATAATCAGATCAAAGATGGCCAAATAACGGCTGTTTTTATTTTGGCCATATTACTACGACACAAAACACGTGTTTTGATGTAAATAAACAATCTGTTGTATATGCCACTTGGAACTCAAGTTTCAAGGACACGCTCGCGACAACCCCTGCTTTAATATGACGAGCACAAAGAGAACTTAATGGGGACTGTGTCATTTTCAATGACTTGTTTTAATTAATATTTGTTTTCCAGTTCTGGTGGTAAGTATGGTTTCTCAGATCGTGTCATTGATGGACTCTATGTGGTGGTAAATGCAGTTAATATTAATTTCCACTCCAAGGCATTTCAAGCTTCCGCACAAGTAAGATCTCACTTCTAATATTTCACTTCTTGTCAGTATGTCAGTGAAATGAGCTGCAGATGATTTTCCCAGCACAGTGTCATAGCTATTTTATCAAACTAGAAAGCTTCCTGTAACTAACCATTAACATAAATTATAACCATGCTAGCAGCAGTTCACGAAAGAATCATTTTCAGTCACAGGCGACATTTTACGCCTCAATCTGAGGGTTTATGCATCTTTTTAATATAGTTTTTGACTCCCATGTGCGAAGCACATAATGGGAGTCTTTGCAGTTAGTGCGTCTGTATGTGTGTGTGTGTGTGTATGGGTGTATGTGTGTATGTGTGTATGTGTGTCCGACTGTTCCACTGCTATCTCAAGAACCATACATCGGTTTTTGATGAAACTTGGTGCATAGATGCTCTGGGCCAATGCGCAGATTTGATTAGGTTTTGGTAAAAATCCATGCTCGTTAATTACCTAATTTGCATGATAATTAGCTAATTTTTAGCTGTTCTATGACTGTTCCACTGATATCTAAAGAACTACTCATTGGATTTTGATGAAACTTGGTACATAGATGCTCTGAACATATGCGCAGATTTGATTAGTTTTTGGTAAAAATCTGTGCATATTAATTACCTAATTTGCATGATAATTAGCTGATTTTTACCTGTTCCATGATTGTTCCACTGATATCTAAACAACCACTCATTGGATTTTGATGAAACTTGGTACATAGATGCTCTGAACATATGCGCAGATTTGATTAGTTTTGGTAAAATCCGTGC